AGAACCACTTTGACACAACTGGCACATGTGGAATCATGCAATGAGGGAGGATGGGGAGCCAGGATCAAATAAGCAGCTTGGTTTTTTCCTTGCCTACATCCAAGGAAAAGATGGGCCATGGACCAGACCAGACACATGCTCTGTCCAGGCCAGCTCTGACTTGGGGTTGTCTTAGAGTCCCATGACTATAGAGGTCACCTCTTCTCTACCTCAGTTCATGGTGTACATGGTTACCAGCAAGAAACAAAGCCATAAAGGGCATATAGATGTCACCTGCAGCAGGGACTACCTGTGCTTCTGCAGATGGGGACATCAGCAATACATCCTGGATAGTGAGGAAGGGGAGAAGGCACAGAGAGATGCCTCCAAAGACCTTTAGGACCAAAAGGGATTTGCCACCACTAATGAGGAACCCTGCGGCAGAAGCCAGGAGAGGGCACGGTTCTCCAGTGTCCCAGTTCATCGTCACAGTCACCAGCTGCTTGTAACTCCGCACCTCATTTATCCAACACCTCTGTCCCCTGCAGCTACGTGTTGGCTTCTGGATAAGGCTCAAGTGTGAGCAGAGAATGTACATCCCGAGGGCAGGTGCCTGCAGGGGGTAGCAGACCCCTGCAGGTCCCAGCAGACTGCTACAGGGGAGAAGACACCTCCTGAATTTCTCCAACTCCCGTTGCACAAACTGAGGTCCCAGGAACCATCCTAGGACCTGTTCTCAATCATTCCTAATCACAGCAGCACATGGAAGATACCAGACAGCACCAACATGATTCCATATATATTAGACAAACAATTTTCAAAAGGAAAACGAAGGGGTTTGTGTGACGCTGTAACAAACACACAGATAGCAGGGCACCCAAGGAAAGGCTGCAAGCACGGCCCCAGAGCTCCGCGACCATTCACACACCAAGGCAACCTCTGTAAGCACCTTTGTAACACACCAAGTCCACGTAACCTGCCACCATCCTCCCATGCACTCAAGCATTTGCTGGTGAAATAACCAGAGCACCTGGAAAACTTTATTCTACCACTCATCCAAGTCTTGTAACATCCCCGCAGTAAGCAGGTGACTTCACCTTTGCTCCATACAACTCCACAAACACCCACTTCACACTGCTACAGCTGGTGACAAAAAGGGATGAGAAAATTGCTCAGATTCAAGAACCAGGGTCAGATTATACCTGGATAGATCCGCCCACCAGGTACAGCCCTTCTTGTCTGTTCAAGTTTAGATTGAAGATGAGGAAGAATTTCTTTACTGAAAGGGTTCTCAGGCATTGGAACAGGCTGTCCAGGGCAGTGGTGGAGTCCCCAATCCTGGAGGTGTTTGAGTCGTGTAGACATAGTGCTGAGGGACATGGGTTAGTCGGGGACTTGTCAGTCTGGGGTTAATGACTGGACCTGATGATCTTAAAGGTTTTTTCCAATCAAGGCAATTCTGTGATTCTGTGCAATTTCAACAGAAGCGAGAAGCCTGTCCAGGCACCCTTGTACCATCATGGTAATGAAACAAAAAGATGAGACCTACCTGGAAGGATTGTTAGCGAGAGGAAGCAAAGCGCTGCCCCAGATCAGGGCACCTAGTTTGACACAATCATCCAGTTTTTAAATATGCCATGTGATAGCCATGGACTACAAAATTCATATGCAAATTGAGAGCACAAACTTCATAGTGGGATTGCTTTAGTCCTCGCTTCACTGTCCCTGACGTGGAGAGCTGCTACTATGGATCAGCCAGCAGATATCACACCAGACTTGGGGAAAAGAGTGAAAAAAACTTTGCTTAGGCCAATAGAAAGACCAGAAGAGTGAGCATGAGCAAACAGCCTGGTAATTCACACCTAGTTTAAGAGAAGCTGCTTTGCAAAGAGGCAAAATTTTGAGAAACAAGTAACCCCATCACCTTAGCCAAGAAGGGTATCCTCAAGGATGTCTCCTGCCTCAAGCAGGACTTGGGAGGACACGTGTCTGCAGCAGCCAGTAAACATCACAGTGAGTTTCCACACAGATGCACTTTTGAAATGCCACAGCTAGGTCTAAACTCACAGCAAGTGCACGAACTACTCCTTGTTAGTTCTTTACATTCATTTCACAGGTGTAAGTTGTTTCAGGGACAGAAAGACAACACTACATTTAGAAAACCTGAAGAAAAGGAGGATGAGCATCCTTCTAGTGAAGGAACAGCCTGAAGTGACCACATCCCCACTGCAGAAAACAGGAAGCATTGGCTTTGTGAGCCAGGAGAGAACAGCCAGAGGATGGTGTATCCAGAATGAGATGTTTGCCTGGGAATGCTTCAAGTCCACCTGCAACAAGCCATTTCAGGATCTCCCTCTCCAGATCTGCTCCAGCCATAATAAAACTACCAGGAAGTAGGCAGCATTCCTGGCAAAATTACACCTTGATGTGGTTTACAAGCAGAAGGTACAGGCAGGAAAGCACACTTTTTTAGGAGAAATATTTCCATAATTTGTGTACTTTTTATGTGAAACTTTAAGAAGCACATCAGTACCATGTAAGCAGGCCAGCACTGAAGAACTGCAGAAACAAATACAAGGCTTGTGGGGCGGCTCCAAGGCTCCTGTGATCAGGAGTGAAGCTACTTGACTGTCTGTGAATGGTGACATGCATCACACAAGCCCCTGTGGACCCATTTCCCCCAGAGACCCACCTGTGTCCAGAATCTGAAGCCCACAAGAAATTAGCAACATTTACACCCAGAGACACAACACCACGAGGAGAAGGCCTTCCACTCACAACAGCTACAGGGTGGTTACACCAGCTCACAGCAGGGGGATGACAGTAAATTTGAGCAGAGCATTTATTTAAATCATTGAGTGCCACCCAGCACAGTACCCCAAGGGTATTACATAAGCCAGGCTGGTGCCATGCAAAATGAGCAATTTTCCCCAAAAACTTTCATAAAAGCTGTTTAGTGGCAAATACTTAGTGCTAAGCCTGCCAGCTCCTCTTCTGTCCACTACCACCGATAAGAGAAGAATTAAAGCAGAGAGAGGGAAAAGATTAAAGAGTGGCTGTGCAAGGAACAAGCACCAAAGCTTGAGCAGTGAGCATGCAGTGGTTCCAGTTAAAAAAACATGAACAGCTGATGCCTGATGCACTAGAAGGCCTGTTTTCTTCTCTTGGAAAGCTCACAAGTCAAGAAGCTTGTGGAGTCGTGGGCCAGCCAACTCAAAGGCACGCCAGCTCTCATCTCCTTCCCCAGCTGCGTACACAGAGAAACTGCAGAACACAAATGCTGGACGATAAAAAGGAAAGCTTCAGTTATTCTCAGACCACAAGAACAACGATGTTTAAAGGCAAAGACACTTGCAGGGCAGCAGAAAGGAAGAGCTGTCCAAACTAGTCAACTGAAGAAATTGTGTTGTCTTAGTCAGCAGCGATTGAGACAAGACAAAGAAAAAGAAATGTGCTACATGGCCAGCTCTTCCCTAACAGCACCCACGCTGGATTTACTGTTCCAGTTTTCCAACAAGATCAGAAATAAAAACTGTCAAATACTGGAGTTGTGCTTAAAACCTATTCTCTGTAAACTGTGTTTCCTTTAGAAGGCTTTGCTTCCCAAACATAATACTTGCCCCTCCTGTGAGTATTATTTGATAACTGCATTCACAGTAAGAAGGCTGAGATTAAATTATTTTTTCCTCAGGGTAATGAACCCTTGAGGACAGTCACGCTTTCAGATACATGCAGAATGGTTGGCTGCATAAAGTTTGTAACACTCATGCGATTCTGGGAAAGATTTTTTTTTTCTTAAAAAAAAAACAACAAAAAAACCCACAAAAACAAAACCAACCTGCAAACCTACAAAACAAAAAAACAAATCAAGTTTTGTCCTTTCTCAGCTGGATTCAACTGCTGATTCAAAAGGACTAGAGAGCAGTATCAGGCCAAAGCAAGAGTATTTTATTCCCACAGCCAGCATAGCACCTGGTTTGCTCTCTCTGTAGCAGGGACCTCTGCTGAGCATCTTTGGCAGGAAAGAAAAAATGTATTGCCCTGCCTAAGAGAGAAGGACATCCAGGAACCAGCGATACACACTTGTACCTCCTTCAAACTCTTCATCATTTAAAATTTTTCAGCTCTTTTATTTCCAAAACCAAACAAAAGATAAAAAGGAGACTCTTTCCTGATGGTGCAGAAGGGATGTCCACAAGAAATCCAGCATGGTCACACCAGTATGTTTTATTCAGAGCTAATGTACCATATAAAGTTACAGAAGATTATTTGTCCAGCCAAGGGTGTTCACGCTTGCCTGCAGGTTTCAAATCTTCTTTGCAGAACACTGACAACTCCTTTTAGGCAGCATCACACCAGTGTCACACACACCAGGTGCACCCAAGTTTTCCCACTGATGCAAAATGTGTCATTTTCCAGAGATGTTCTTTCTAGTAATTCTCAATTCTCGTTTTCCTCTTCAATACTTCCCCTCCTAAAAAAAGCTTTGTTTTCTTCACCAACCTACCAAAGCTTAACACTTCCTGTGATAAAATGCAAGGCAAACAGGAAACATTATTTAGTACGCTAAGATTATTCAGATTGTACACCCAGTTCAAAATATCTAGATCCCTGAGAATATACACCAGTACAGAATGAGGGAAGTTTATCTCCCCACCACTGGTCTGGAAAGAGCCAAACTGGCAGCCTAATGTGGAATGTCATTTCTGATGACTTTGAGATTTCAACATGGATAGTCAAGATGCAGGTTCTTCAGCAACCTGGGATCTATATGGACTGCACAAAATTCTTCCCCCCCAAACCCTGTACAAGTGAGATTTCTGAGGACAGGGAAGCAGCACACAGGGTAGAGCAAGAACCCTGAAACACATTAGGCTTAAATCAGTGGATTAGACTAGTGGTTACTGGTAATGAAACAGCAGAGTTTTCACTATATAAAATTTATAAATTTATTTTTTTGTAAAAATCCAAAGAGCACGAAGACATCTCACTCAAAATACTGGTAAAACAAACCACACTTAGAAAAATGAAAGCTGATTTTATTATCTTATCCACAGCCAATCATTTGACATGAACATGCATACGTAATTTTGCTACGCACACACCACAGTTCAACGTTAGTTATTAAAGGTTAAACATACAACATACATCCTTACAAAAATGAGTCAAAATGCAAACGTAACTTTTAAACAAAACAGTTTTTACTCATTTAAAAAAACCTTTGTGTTGGGTACCATTTTGTACAAACACAGTTAATTTAAACAAATCTGCTTTTAGTTTCCTCATGGTTGCACATGAAAATAAGCTGCAATAGAAAATGAAGTCATCAAGGGATTTTTAAATAGCAGAAGTAGGCAGTCTTGCCATGCAGAAGAAGCAATATTAAATATTAGTTTTTCAAAAAAAGAAAAAACCACAAGTTTAAAAATATTTAGTTCAAGTCACAAATCTTTCCCCAGTACAGAGAAATCCAAATGCAACGCATAATTAGCTGCCACTTAGGATGGCTATTCTGAAAAGTAGAAATACTTTCCAGAATTGATAATTTTCATTGATTTGGCACAGAAAAGAAGTCCGAGCTTACTTAAGAACGAGAAAGTGATTAAAAAAAGGGTAAACAGGAAGAGAGAAAACAAAAAGCAAGAATGAACGAGATAGTAGTTGCAATCACTAAAAAAAAAAATAAATCTGTGCATCTCAGTCATTGCAGAATACTGTCTGTCTACAGCAGGTGCGAATTCCAGGTAACTGTTATTGCAACATGGATTTAATTTGCTTGGAGGTAGTCTCATCATTCAAATGCTTTGTTGTGTACCTAAACACAGAAATAAAAATCAAGTTGAGAAGAGCATAGATGCTATTTTACTTTGGCTTAACAAATACACAATTTCTTTGTTTATGGCTCAGCCTGACTGAACCAGGGTAAATCCCTCAGCCATGGACCATCACCCACTCCATGGTTACCAAGTACACAAATCAGACATTCTGATCAGAAAACACCATTATCAATCAGAATTACAACCCAACAGCTCAGCTGCATGTTGGCTTTCATGCTCAGAGGTAATTTCATAGCACACTCCTATTACCACTTGTGATAGGTGATTATCAGTAACTCTGAGGTCTCTGTCCATAGGAAACAACTTCAAATAAAACATCCTTCAGAAACTTTTCTTCAAAACTTCCAGTGACCAAACCTTTCTAGGATCCCTCAATGAGAATGGATTTTATTGTTTTTCAGTCTGATTTCCTGTTTAGTTAAGTACCTGTGCTGCTAAAACTACAGGGTATACACACGTGTTTATTCCAGCACCTTCCCTCTTTAAAATTCTCTGGGACACTAGCACATTTTTAAATCATTACAAAGAACTCAATCATCTCTTATTTTAAAAGAAAATACTGTATATCCTCAATGCTGGCTTGTTTGTACAATTTATTTCCCTGATCTTCCTTCTCTAACTGTAATCTAAATCCAAGTTAAAAGTTATTCTGTAATTTAAATTTAACAAGTCAAATTGGCACTTTCATTGTTATCCACAACTGCAGTGATATTTTAATTGTTCACTTGAAGAATACACAATGACTTTTTGTTTTGGAAATTAACATCAGTACAGATTTCAGCCCTTTTTGGTAATGTATACTTTCCACAAACAAGAGGCCTAAAGGTTTTCTAAAATCCTGCAAAGTTATTGCACTTGATATTCTGCCCATGTAAGAAAGCTGAACATGATTACAGTACTTGTATGAATTCAAGATTATAAACAGCTGATGTTCCTCCATACCTCCTGAAAACCCATACCATTTTCCATTTGCTTGTAAGATACATTATCTATCTCTTCAGAAAACTTGAGAACTTCTAACATTCCTCCAGAGTCAAAGACTTAGATTTGGACTTAATTTCTCATGATACCATCTTCAATCTACTTTCACCACACACACATAGCAGCTCACCTCTGTACCTCTTCCTAACTATTCCAAATGTGATTAAAAAAAAAAAAATATCTTACCCAAACAAGTAATCCAATGTATGAAACCAGGACTGTTAAAGGATGTATGCATGAAATGGGGTGGGGTGGTGAAAGTTCAGCATGACATCACAGACCAAATTTACAATACTAACCCCAAAATAATGCACAACGGAGTGAGTACCTGAACTATTTTCCATATACTTTACTAACAGTATCAACCATGATGGGGAAAAATGGGTTACTAGTAAAAATCAGTGTTCATTTGAAGCTGCAATCACAATAAATTAGTCAGCAAATTAATGCTAATATAGCGTTTTCCCTCTGGAAGCTTGTGTTTTACTGATCACCATCTCAAAGACTGATCATGGACAGGAGGTTCAGAGATGAGTAACAAAAAGATTTAGGCATGGAAATACTCACATGAAGTCTCAAATTAAGCCCAGATTTATTTATTTTTTTTCCCTTCAGCTAATAATCTGGAAAAACTTTTTAAGTGAAGCCACTTATAATACCACATTCTTTCACTTCTTACCACATCTTAGCACAAAAAAGGAGGTAAATGAAACTAAAGCAGTTTCACTACAAATAAGAAAAACAAAGTGTAACTGCACACTTTCAGGCAAGACAAACTATAGCTTCCACACTTCAAAGTGAGTGCACAAAAAACAATACCCAGTTAGAATTAACTGTTATCAAAGTAATATGGTAGTTTTTCAAGTAAGGACAAGAATGAAGCCCTCATCTGCCTATCACATTTTGGCACTTCTTGCCACTCCTCTGATGCTGGACACCCACATGAAGAACAGGTTACTGACTACAGATAGAGAGTTAAGGCCCAAATTAGCACTTTTTAGGTTTCTATGCAGAATTATTATTTTTTCTTTACCTCTCCAATTAATGTGGCAATTTGTCTCATCTATTCTACAGCAAAAACACTGAGACTCTTGCCTTAAGAGCCTCCCTATAAATACTTTGCGAAAGAGATACCAAAAAACTATCTGCCTTACATGCCTGAAGCTATCTGTGAAACATAAAAATCACATGAAACTACTCTTAAATTCTACTACTAAGAAATAAAATCATTAAGCCATGGTCAAACCACACACAGTTGAGGATATGACCAATGCAAACTAACCCAGCTATTTCTTTGGTAAGCTGGCACAAGTCGCAGCGTGCGTGCTACAGCTGCTCACGTGGCTGTCTGGTGGTTCAGTCAGTAGATGTGACCACAGTTAACTTCTAATTAGCTTTTAGTATGGATTATTCTTTGACATCAATTTTAACTTCAGGTAAAATGTCTGCTCTGCTTACATCTACAGACTCATTCTTAACCTGCATGTACTTACAGCATGCAAAAAGTTATCTTAGAAGGAATAACTACAAGTTCACAACCTAGATTTTAAAACACAGTCGCTTCTTCATGCATCCCTGTCTCAAGACACATTGGAAAAGAAGCCTGCAATAGCCACATCCACTTTTTACACATAACACTGAATGAATACCTTGCTGCTGAAGGAAAGGTTCTGGACAATTTAAGAAAATTCACATAAAACTATTTCAAATAAAAGAATAAGAGTACCTGAGAGCATTTAGAAGGCCTTCTACACTGTTAGGAGGCTGGTCTTTAAGAACTTTGATGCATCCTTTCATCTAGGAGTTAAAAAAATTACACATTTCCTCTCATGTCAATATCTTTTAAGTTTACAGAAGCATTTTATATTCAGTTTGTCAGAGAAAAAAGATAAGTATTTAAAAACTGCAGCAGTGTAAAGACATTTTCTTGATATTAGAAAGGAATTAAGCTTTCAATATTACACTTTCCTATGGCAGAATGGCTTAGCTACTTAAAAATCTGCCAAAAATGCAGCTTTGATGTCAAGCTCTGCTTTATTGATCTTAAAAAAAAACAACAACTGTAAACAAAAATCTTTGTTTATCATAAATCCTTTAAGAATTATTACATTCAGCCAGTGAAATAATGGCAAACTCTGTAGGTAATACAATGGGATAATAGCCCATCTGAAACAACCAGGAGCAGCATACAGTAACAGCATGTATTCCATAGACTTAACTATCAATCAACAGCAGAAAGTTGGTGGATGATCAGCCTAGCTTTATACCAGATAGGGAGGAACAAACTAGATGCTGTTGTTATTTCCAGCACTGGTTAGAAAGTGGTGAGCAACTGCATTGTGCACCACTCGTTTGCATATTCCATTATTACTATTATTATTATTTTCTTTAAATTAGTAAATTGTTTTTATCTCAACCCATGAATCTTCTCACTTTTACCCTTCTGATTCCCTCCCTTATTCCCTGGAGGGGGCTGTGTTTGGCTGCTAGCCAAGTGAAACCACCACAATACTCAAAAGTTTATTTAGTAACAATAAACTTACATCGATTTTTGAAGTTTTGGCAAAAGCGCCCACGGGATGCACGTGGTCATAGAGTATGATGACACCCACCATTACCCTCAGACAGAATGATACTGTTTCCTCGTTTGTAAACCTGCTTCTATATTCACTGTAATTTAAAAACCACAGATTATTATCTATCAAACACAAGATGACAGTGCCTACTAGCAACGCCTGAAATAAGATTAAAGAGAAAAATCGTGCTGTAAATCCTCAGAGAAAAAAAACAAAACAAAAACTCCAAACTCCCTCCCAATCCCGCAGAGTTTTGGGAGTTTCCCTTTTTCCTTTCAATAACCTGCCTATAAGTCAGACCACTGCTTAGAAAGAGTTAGCTGGAGATTAACAAAGATTCTCAAACCTAAAATAGCATCCTGCTGCTACATCATTTCAGGTTTTTTGGTTTGTTTGCAGAAAAAAATAAATTTAAAAAGTACATACTAACTTTGCTTTCAATGCTTCCTGCCTTTTCCCTGCCACCTTATAATACACATAGAACCCAAACTTCTGACTCAGGAAAAAAATAAAGGGAAGGAAAAAAAGCAAGCTTAATGAAAAATGCTTAAATACCTTCTTGAATGGGACAGATCATTCCCAAGCAGGGTAAAAATATAAATGTTTGGAGCTCTTTATGTACTCCAAAACAAATGTACTGTGGTATTTGGACAGAAGCTTATTTAAATATAACATACCTCATGCCTGAGTAATTTTACAAATGGGGAAACTATTTAGATCCCAGAAAAAAAAAAAGAAAAAAAAAAAGATAAAACCCCAAAGTTCAGTTTGACTTTTTGTTCATACTCCCAGTGCCTCTCAAATTTACAGTACACAACAGACTGCCTCCGTGCCCAAAAGTCGTCTGGTAATTCCCCAGGCAGGGGTGCTGTAGTTTTGTTACAGCCACCAGCCAAGCCAACCTGTAAGGAGGTGCCATCCAACCCATTGCCCATAGCCCCTCTTTCAGGAGGCCCTAGGCAATCATGCTCAAATAGTATTTTCTCCTGAATTATACATGAGAAAACCATTTATAAAGAGTGCCAAGAGGCTGCCTAGCTTTCAGAGCCATTCTATTTTTAAATATTAATATGTTCAGAAAAGTAGACCGCATGATTTGCACGGCTAGCAAAATGAGACAAGTTAGTTTCATGTTGAGGTTAAAAACTAAGTTGGAAAAAAGAAAACACCCCAGCTCCTAATTACCCCAAATATATTTATTTCACTTTCACAAGTCATGTCATACAGTGATGATTCATACACAATACAAGCACTGTTTATACTCACGGGGTTTCCAGCATGACCCTGCACACACTAGCCATGGTGCTTAAGCAGTCTGTAGTATTCTCTATCGGTAAATTTTTATTCTGCAGAAGATAAACAGTTTCCAATTCAATTACTGTGAAATATTATACTACAAAACTTTAATCAAATCAGCAATCTGCTGGCATGGCAATGTGGAGGAATTCAAAATATCAAGATAACTATGGTTAAGTCATGTAACCTCGTGCTGGTTTCTAGAAATGTTACAATACAGATTACTGACTTACAGACCAAAGTGTACTATACGGGTTCTGCTTGCTTGTTTGTAGTTAAAGAAATACACCACTGACACTACTGACTTTTGGGAAGTTTTTAAAAGAATCCCCTAACCTGCTTTTTAAGGACAGAAATTTTTATAGCCAAGAAGAGGCATCTGCTACAAAAGTAAGACTTAAAATCACTGCAGACAAACACCTCAATGAAATGTAAAATAAGAGACCATCTTTCTCAAAGTGTTTCAAGTGTAAATCAGAACTTGGAGAAAATATTAAGACAAATGTATCTTTGTCTTAATCATGTAATGTACAATTATTTTTGTTAAGAAATAGTGTGCATTCTTTGCATGTAAGATAAAAATCACAGTTACCAGAAGGCAAGCACAATACTTGTAGTGATTGGATTTTATCAGTGCTATTTATATAGGTAGTTAAAGATAAACAGGGATGTGTCAAAATGTTGGAATACTTTTCCAGTTCAGGTTCCTCCCCTCTTCTGCAATAATGTAAGTATAGTTGACTTCACACAGCAAAACAAGAGTGTCTTGGGAAGGAGAAAAGGGAGCTACAATTTCAATTCTCTTCCCTATTTCAAGCAGAGAGAATCAAGTGGCTTCCCTTTCAATTTTCTGAAGTTTCTGCTCTAAGTCACCACCAAACGCAGGCAACATCCTTACCTCTCCCACGTCCCTCCTTGAGCAAATCTATCGCTACCAATTGTTACCAATGTTATAACGTTACCCAGTAACTTTTTGTGACACATCTACAAGGCGGTTAGCTGAACTTACTCTAACCTCTACATCATCTGAGAGAGATACTTTATGTTTCTTGATGCTTCAAAAAAAAAAAGTTTGATCTCTAGATTCCAGATTAAGACTAGTAGAAGAGTTTTGAGTTCTATAATGATGCCTGGCCCTGCAGTGATTTGAAGTACACTATCCAAGCCATAAATTTATATTCTTACCTCTGACACAAACTTTGTTGTAGCATCACTTAAAGTTTTCAACATCGGCGTTGCTTCAGCATAAAATAAAGACATTCTGTTTGCCAATTCATTATTTACTTCATTTTCTCCCTCTGCCTATAAAACAGAAGGAAAAAAGAATTTAGTTGTCTGTACATGAAAAAAAGATTAGTGGTAGTATAAGATTACATTTCATTTCATCTAAGGGTTACCTACTGGGACATTGTTAATCCTCATACGGCTCAGAGTTCTTCTATAGTAGCTGAAATCATTCTGTATAGCAGGATTTGTCATCTACATAGATATGGAAAACAAAAAAGTTGTGACAAACTCCTCAAGAAAAATACAAGAACAAGTTTTCATAAAATATAATACTGAGAACAAGAAAATATTCAGCCTGCTGAAGTAAATAAGGCTTTGACATGTTAAGAAGTGGTATGTAGACCATAAAGCTTTCTGGTTAAGTTCTTAGATTTTTCAGAACAAGATCTAAGAAGAAGAAAAGGAGTAGTATCCTAAACAGGAGTTTGAGATTAGTAGTTTTTGGGGGGTTTTTGGGTGTGTGGGTTTGGGCTTGTTTTGGGGTTTTTGTTGTTTGGTTGGTTTTTGTTTGGGGTTTTTTGTTGTGTTTTTTTCTTAAAACAAACAAACAAACAAACAAAAAAAAGACTTTCTGGTTTGACTCCAAGGATCAGACTGGTAAACGAATACAATTTCAGTTTAGCTCTTTGCACATTAGCAAGAAAACAGCTGGACTATGGATGTGCACATACTGAAAACAGCAGTAGCATTATCCCAAGAGATACACCAAATTCAGATGATTAATATGAACTGTAATGTAACAAGTACCTAAAGATAATATGGTATTTCATCTGCTTTCCATTTTAATCTAACTCTAGGTCACACGAACAAGCTGAGCATAGCAGATATTTGAGTATCTACTGCATGCTCTATTCCAGACAGAAAGCAACTCAGATTGCTTCACTACTCAGGCTTCTTTTCTTTTTGCTAGCCTTTGTGTTTACAAAATTCAACAAGTTCTTACCTTGAGCTCATCAAAACGGAGTGTAAAGTGAAGAATTTCTGCAAACTGCTTAGCAAGAGCCTGCTCTCGCTCCAGGTGTTGCGTTGGTGAATATGGAGTGCTTGTCAGGGCTCCTAACAGACCTCGCAATCCTGCCTCTTAAATGAGAGGAGAATATTTTGCAATATACAACTGCATGTGTTTGCTGTGTCTCTACTGACTGATATCCTGCATGCTAGACTTAAAACATACATCTGCCAAAGTACATGGTAATTAATAATAAAGGGGCTTGATGAATCGCTTCTATGTGCCACTGTTATCATATTTACTTATAAACTGCTGTAAAGGTTAGGTGCAATCAGCACTGACAGCCATGAAAAAACTTCTTGAAAAGTTTTATTCAAGCTTTGTCTGCAACGTTTGTGCAAAATGTATTTCAATACCATGTATCAGCAGACTATAGTCTTTAAGATAACACAGAATTCAAGAGGTACCTACCTATCAGGAGAAGTCATGTTTTATTTGCTTTTACAATAAACTTGTAATCCAACTTCCTGCTCATTCTCTGGAGAAAAATACCTCACCTCTTTAAAAAAGCAGAATTTGCCTGCAAAAAGCTTCCACTTTTTGAACCACAAACACCTTTTCTCCATGAGCTATGCTAATAACGCTGTCTAAAAGTGAGGTAACAACAGATTGTGAAAAAACAAATCAACGAATCACGTCTAATAGGTTTTATCAGCTTAGACACAAAACCAACCTGACTTACAGTTTTTAAGATAGAAACTAGACTACTTCATAACTGAAAAGTACTAAAAAACTCAGAAATAAAAATGATCATAACTGTTGTAAGAAGCATGAAGTGCCATCTTAAGTATTGCACCTGCATGAACCAAGACTGGGTATTTCCACAGACCAAATTATTTCTGGTGTTTGAGGGGGAATAATATAGTCAGTTCTAATTACTCTTGGTATCAGAAACACTAACAGAACTAATTCCCAATGAATTAATCTACTAATTTTTCAAAACAACCTGCTGGTTAGTGCTCTCTAGGGTTACTAAAGGGGTAGAGAAAGAGGATGATGAGTATGCCCCCGTTATTTCTCTCTCCTCTCAGGTATCCACTGAAGTAAGTTTGCTTTCACATGCAAGAAGGTAGTACACAGACATAAATAAATACAATCCAGGATATGGAAGTAATCTATGTGATACAAGCTTTTATCTACTAATAAATTGCTGACCTAGATTACATCTGAATATACCAAACATACTAATTAATGAAGATAAAAATCCCCAAGTTAGTATCATTCCACTTACCTAGTCTTTGAGAAAATTCATAGAATTTCTTTAGTTTGCCTACTAATGGAACAACTGCACCCCATGCCTTCTCCTGCAGCTTCTCATCATTGGGATGCTGTATTGCCTTAAATTAAAAAAAAATATGAAAAAGTATGCTCAGACTAAGAATATCTGATACACTACTGAGGGGAAAAAATATTTATGCAGGGTAATTGTTTGAGGAACTAGTACTTAAAAATTCTAAATACTGAGAAGTTCCCAGTTAAAAGATAAGCTTGTACTAACCTACGTCTGTTCCAAAAAGCTCTAAATACTTGTGTTGGAAATAAATACCCTGAATAGGAAAACAACTTGGAGAGAGTATAAAGAAATTGTTAAAAATAAAGCTACTCCAATAAGAAAATTTACGTAACCAGATCTAATTAAAATAAATAACTTTGTGAGGGTGCCTCCAAGCAAAAAGTTTAGTGATCAAAGCCTCATCCTAATGTTGGTATCTACCACCAACTTCTGAATTTGCAAAGAAAAAAATATCAAACAAATCTGCTGTGAAATAAGGCTGATATTACAGTAGGAACATTTAAGTATAATCAACAACATAAAGCACCACCAAGACATGGTATTTACCAGGGCTTTGAGGTATATGTACATAGACTTTTTACAGTAAGCTTCCCAGACAGATAAAGCCTTAAATTCAGTCTCTCCAAGTTTTTAAGACAGAAACGAGACTATTTAGCAACTGAAAATTATTTAGCAACTGAAAATTACTAAGAAAACAGAAATAAAAATGCTCATAACTCTCCTGCTGCATCTTCACAGTCAGCTCCTTGATTCCAAAATCTGTTTCAGTCAACCCTGGGCTGTGAGTTGCAGCATGCTCTTCTCTGGTCCCTACGAAGTTCCTTCCTGCGATGTCTACCTCCTCTCAGGAGCGTCTCTCTCTCTTCTCCATGGGATCTGCAGGCTTTGTTGCCGAGACACACATTCCTG